TGTGACTTTGAGTCATACAAAATTTTTCAGATATGCCAAAAAGGCATATCTTTTTATTTTGAATTTGAAATTCAAAATCAATATTGTACTTCATGAAAATTAGAAACTTCTGCTTTTCGAAAGGCACTGCTAAGAAAATGCAAAGAAAATTCACACACTTGGAGGCAATATTGTAAAATACATATCTGACTAAGACTTGTGTCAGGAACATTTTTTAAATTCTCTAAAATAAGTAATAAAATGGACAATATGGCCAAAATATTTGAAAAGACATTTCAACCAAGAAGATACATGGGTGGCAGGTAAGCACATGAAGATACTCAACATAATCATTCATTAAAGAAATGCAATGTAAAAGCAAAGTGAGATACCACTGCACATACATTGGAATGGCTCAAATGAAAAATAAATGACATATCAATTAATGGGGGGATGTGGAACAATGAGAAGTGCAAGTCATTGTGGAGAGAAATGCGAAATTGCACAGGTTGGCAGACTCCAAAAAAATTAAACATAAGGCTTACAATTTGCCCGAGAAATCCTATTTTTAGATATGTAGTCAAGAGAAATAAGGTTGTATGTTCACAGAAAACCCTCTAGGAATATTCATAGTGCCTTTATTCATAACTGACCTCAACTTGAAGAACCCCAAATGCTCTTCAACTGATGAATAGAGTTTTAAAAATGGTATATCAATGCAATGGAAGGCTGCTTAGCAATAAAAAAGAAATCAACTACTGATTCGTAAAACAATGGGGATGAATCTCAAATGCATTATTCTGTGCAAAAGAAGTCAGACTTTACATACTACATATTATAGGATTCAAATTATATGACATTCTGGAAAAGGCTAAATGATCCGAACTGAAAATAGGTCAGTGGTTGCCAAGGATTGATAAGGGGAAGAGGTTGATTTAATAAGCATGTGAGGGAACATTTTGGGGTGATAGAACTATTGTATATCTTAGTTGTAGTGGGGTTTACAGGACCATATGTTAGTCAAAGCTCATAGAATTGGATAGTTAAATGGATGATTTTTTTGGTATATAATATCTCAAGAAATGAAACTTAAAATAGAAAAAAATTAAAATAACACTTTTTAGAAATAAAAAGTAGTGAAGTATACAAGAAGGGAAGCAAAGAATGATGAATACAAGATTTAGTATCATGGTTATATTAGATGAGACAGGCAGGGACACGGGTGAAGGGTGAATTACACAGATGCATATAACTTACTATGAAAGTTACCATTTTCTCTTGGATGACGAATTTTTCTGTTTATTATTTAAATAATAGATAGACTAGCAGATAGATACATTAATTAAGAAGGCCAAGCATGGATGAATTGTAAGCATATAATATGAACAGAGGATATTCGTTAATCCAATTTTGTGCTTCTGAAATCCAGTAGTAAGAAAATTAAATGACATAAACTTGACGACGACTTGGACAACTTCCCAAGTTGCCATTTTTGGCTTGCTCAGCTCATCTTCCCCAGGAGTGACTCAGCGGCCGCTCATAGCATCAGTCGTGTATTGCAGAGGAGAAGGGTTGCTCCTTGGTTGGTTGTCTACTCATTTACTACTCATACGCCTTCTCAGAAGATTCACCTTGGAACTAGACCTCAGATAAAGCACTTCCTGGCCCAGAGTTAACTACTTGTTATAACATCCTCATTTCGAGCCAGTCAAGTAAATTTCTTCTTCATTATCCCGGGTCCTCAGGATGTCAGGGATACTAAGAAACTCTCATAATGCAGAAAGAACAGCTGGAGCTGCTCCATGCTCTGAGAGAAGTAACTGGGCTGTGGACTGTATTCTGCGAAGAACAAGTGGGTGGAGATTTCATAAGTGAGGTTTGAGGTTAAGGAGTTCTGTCCCAAAGAAAAAAAAGAATGTCTCCAAATCAGGATAGGGAGACAGGGACTCAGTGCTGGGCTGGGAAAAAGCCAGCTACAAGTCAGCTTTCAATTCATTAGAAAAGGATGACCCTCCTCCTGACAAGTTCTGAAATGCTCTGAGTCACACTGACAGGGGGACATGTGTTATACTCAAAATGAAGTCTTATAGCAATTCAAAGTTGTACATCTTTGGAATTAAATATGGACTCTATACTTACTTCTGGACAATGGCTGTATATGGAAAAGGAGTTATTCACTTCTGCAGTAGGTTTGAGCTCTAAGTCTAAGACCGTTTCTCTCACCCACACTACAATGCCTGCATTTTGCCTTTGGGCTCAGTCATCACAGATATAAATACCGTAATTGTATACTGTCTATCTTCTCGGCTAGATTGTAAGACCTCTGAAGAAACTGAATGTGTCCCTTATTGACTGCTGAAACCCAAGCCGAGCAAGCCACTCACTGGCCCTAGCGGATATGCAGCTTGTGTTTCTCAAATATGGATGGTCAGAGTCAGTTCCAGCATGTAAGACTGATGATGGCATGTCAGAAGGAGAGAGGCTCATATCAAACTTTGGGCTCGAGGAGAAAAGTCATGGAGTGACGACTCCAGTGAGGGTTGCAGATCAGAGGTCAAGGTGGACCCAACGAGGTGTCTGGGAGTCCCTGGGCGCACCCTGTCACTCAGACTGCCCCATCCCTGTTCTCCAGGCTTTAAGTCTGACACCACTGGCAAAGCTGTATTTTTTTTACTCACTTGGTTCCTTTTCAGCCCCACTATCTAGTTTGACATAGAAAAGCACATTGCTCCTGTTATGGGACAATCACTCGATGAGCTAATGGCTGCTCTCGGTGCAGGAGTTAAGCTGAAAATGCAAATAAACCCGGAAACCCGGAAGGGAATGGGATCTTATATTGAAGACCAATATAAGGATTTTGGTATATGGGGTGAGATAAGAGTCCATATGAATATGCATGTGAATATCTAGTTTTCCCCAATCCATTTATTTATTTATTTAGAGACAGAGTCTTGCTCTGTCGCCAGGCACCAGGCTGGAGTGCAGTGGCACAATCTCAGCTCACTGTAACCTCCATCTCCCGGGTTCAAGCAACTCTCCTTCCTCTGCCTCCCTGGTAGCTGGGATTACAGGCACAGGCCGCCATGTCCAGGTCACTTTTTGTATTTGAGTAGAGATGGGGTTTCACTGAGTTTAAGATAATCATTCTGAATTCTTCAGCAGTCATTTTATAAACCTTCACTTCTTCAGGGTCCATTATTGGAGCTTCATTAATTTCTTTATGATGGTGGTGTATTTTTTTTTCAGATTTTTCATAGTTTTTGTGTCCTTGCACTGATGCACAAGCATTTGAGGAAATGGACATCTCTTCCACCTTAGTTTGTGTTCTTTGGCAATGGTATGTATACCTTCACTATTTGATCAAACCTGGGATTCTAATTAAGCTAGTTTGTGGTGACCTTGAGCAGGAAGACCTTGCTGTCATGCTGTGTAGCTGGGCTGAACTATCAACTGTGCTCTAGGGTTGAGTAGAATTTCTGGCTGTGTTCCATGGTCTGGTGAGAGCATTGGCTGGACTCTATAGTAAGACAGAGCTGCTGGCTGAACTCACCTTGATTGAGCAGTACTGTTGCTTGTCTTCCGTGGCTGGCCAGGGCTACAGTTTTGAATCTGTAGTTGGGTGAGGCCATGTTCTAGGGTCAAGGTGGAAAAAAGTATCTGAGATTACTACATAACCACGCAGGGTGACAGAATCAGAGGCTATGTTCCATAGACACTCATGGGAATGGGTTTGCCTCTAGTCCCAGGATGACCTAAAGCAGAGCACCATGACTTGATAATATTAGCCACTTGGATGCTGGGCCTGGGTGGAACAGATGCTCCTTCTGCTGTTAATTGCCACCATGCCACAGTTTTCTGGCCTTGGGAAGGGTAGAGAAGCCCAATGGGTAGGGCTTGACTGGGTGGAAAGCTTGGCAGCTGGGAATGGGTGGAGCCAGATGTTCTCTTTGCAGGTAACTGCCATTCTACCCTTATCTCCTGGCCTGGGGAAGTTTCAAGGAGAGCACTGGGGCTGAGTGTGGAAGCTGACCAGAGATTCAAGCCTGGGAGACAACAACCGTGCTTCTTGCTGAGCATCGCGAGCCTCTCTGGTAGTGTGCCTCTGCTGGCCAGAATGTAGCACAACTGTCAAGACCCCTTATGATAATTCAGCCTTATATGAAAAGGGAAGTTTCTGATTTGTGACAACATGGATAAACCTGAAAGATATAATGCTAAGTAAAAGAAGCCAGCTATAGAAAGACAAATATGCCATGATTTCACTTATATGTGGAATCTTAAAAAGTGCATAGAAGTAGAAATGATCATTATCAGGGATTGGGTTGGGGAAGGGGGAAGAACCGAGGATACGTTGGACAAAGGATACAGAATTTTAATGAGACAGGAGTAATAAGTTCAGGAGATTTATTGTACAGCATGATGACTCTAAAAATGTACGGCATTCTTGAAAATTTCTAAAAGACTAGACTTTGAGTGTTCTTACTACAAAAAATGATTAGTGTGTCCGGCTGTCATTCTGGGAGATCACCTGAACACCATCACCCTTTGGGACCATCAGCGCACTGCAGGACTGACGTACAAAAGCTGTGGTTTTAGGCTGGAAGTCTCTTCAAACACTTCTGTGTTGGTGCTTGTTTCATCAGATCAAATATATTTACCTTTCTGAGTGATATCCATTTAGACTGCAAGGTACTCAGTGGAAGAAGCATGTCCTACACGTCTCCGTATTACTACTGTTGAAAGAAGTAAAACAAACAAAGCCTGTGAATCAACGAGCAGAGGTGGCCAGGAGGTTCCGGGGGGACCAGAGCGGGAAGTACTTCTGCTGTCACCAGGACATCCTGGTTCCATCTTATTAAACCTTCAGGCATGTGCCCAGGAAGACAAGAGGTCATCTTATTACACCTTTAGGTACATGCTGAGGAAGTAGGCACCTGGGAAGTGTCTGGTGCTGTCACCTCCTTGGTTGCAAAAGCAGCAGCATACTCGGGTTGTTCATCATGAACACCGCATAGGATAAAAGGGCTCCTACCCAGGACTTCTCCACAGCATCCTCAGGAGCAGCCTTCTCTTACCTGCTCCACATCTGGTGAGTGGCCAGCAGGGGACAGATCCTCCGCTGGGAGTGTTTGGGGAAGACAATCTCAGAACTCAAATGAAACCATCCAATAGAGGCCTACAGCAGGCAGCAGAGGTGGAGGTGATGGTGAATAAGGAGCTTCTAAGGCACATGTCAGGGACCTGTGACCTGCAAAAGCCACAGGACCTTAGGATTCCTTCGTATTCTTGTTTGGAACATGTTGCCAGGAATGCGCACAGATCTATTTTACATTCTTGAGGATGCTTTATCCAAATGCATGTGTAGGGTTCCGTCTACCACGTTCCTATTTCTCTCCCACAGATCTTGGCTTAGAAAGTGGCTTCATCAAGGGGGTCAGTGTGCAACAAACCCCAAAATAAGGAGATGGTCTGAGGATTCTTTGCTCAAATGTTTCTATTATTTCATTCCAGGTAAAATTCCTGCCAAGATGTCCTGCCAGCAGAACCAGCAGCAGTGCCAGCCCCCACCCAAGTGCCCCTCACCCAAGTGCCCCCCGAAGAGCCCAGCACAGTGTCTGCCTCCAGCCTCCTCCTGCTGTGCTCCAAGCCCTGGGCGCTGCGGTGGCCCCAGCTCTGAGGGAGGCTGCTGCCTGAGCCACCACAGGCACCACAGGTCCCATCGATGCCGGCGCCAGCGCTCCAACTCCTGTGGCAGGGGCAGTGGTCAGCAGAGTGGGGGCTCCTCCTGTGGCCATGGCTCTGGGGGCTGCTGCTGACGTGGGTCCTAATGATAAGATAAGTGATCTTTGGAAGAAACAAGAATCCCAAGGGCCCAGGAAAAGCCCCATCCTGATGAGTGCTTTCCCAGATGACTTGTTCTGGCCTCCACAAGCTGAGCTGGGGGTGCTCCTCTTGAGTATCCAAGCTGTCCCCAGAAGGTGCTTTCTTTCTGAAGTCCAGGATTTCAAACATTTCCGTTTCCTCATCCCTGTCCCTGCCAAGAACTGGCAGTTCCTGTACATAACCCCGCCAAAAAAATACAGCTTCTTGTTCCCATTACCACTGGTGTCTCACTTGTTATGAAATTGTCCAGAATGTATCCATCCAGGCCAGGCTCTCCTGTCACCTGACCTTGCAGGACCTTAGAAAGCCAGAGATTTAAGTGTGTTACCCCTGGTAGGGGTGACCCCAGTAAGCTGACCTCATGCTTTGGGAAAGTAGCGGGACTGTGGTCTCCCAGCCAACCCTCTGTCATCACAGGACACCTGCTCAGCCTCAGTCCTGTGTACCTTCTGCTCTGATGAAGAACAAAGGGGCCAGGAATTGGGAGCCCCTCATGGAGGGGAGGAAAAGTTGATGGGCACCATAACCAGGATGAGTACGGAGCCTTCCAGGGCAGGCATCAGGGGTGGGGCTGTGGAGAAACCCATGTGCAGACATCTGCTGCATTCCATAGGAACAGGACAGGCCCCCACTAAAGTTCTGGGGTATTCTGAAACTTTAGAATTTACTCATCTATTGTTGTATCCCAATGACTGGAGAGTCTACTCCTAAGAAGCAAAAGTGGCCACTCAGCTGTGTTCAGCCCAACAATCTGGCCACCATGAGAAAGTGCTTGGTCCATCTCTTTTAAATGCCTCTTTGCAGGACAGGGGCTACTGAAGGGACCCTTAACATTATGAGTAAAATAGTTCAGGGGATGATTCTGAAATTATTTCCAAGCCAGAGACAGGGATCATGTGCTGGAGGCAGGAAAATCTGCTGAGGATATCAATACCTGAACCTACCCTCTCCCCAATCCATAGTCAGAACCACCCTCTTTCCTATGGCCCAGTGCATTTATGCTCCCACAGGCATCACTATTTCATGCTCCTATATCACTATTTCAGTCCACTAGGGTGAACTGTCAGGCAGAATGAGAAGAAAAAAATTATAAACCCAACAGTGAACACAGTTTAATTTTCTTTGACAATTACCATTTAATTTAAACATGAATAAACTTTGGTTACAGCCTATCTTGAAAAATATCTAGAAAAGGTATTTATTTTAATATTAGAGATTAATTGAATGAGAAACTTATCTAAAATTCAAATGAAATTAACAAGGAAAATAGTATTCAGTTTGCATCAGTTCTCCGTACCCAAAATATAGACACTATGAGGTCAGCTGCATTACATGAGATGCACCCAGTGCTACCATCAACCTCATAAGCAGCAACACATACAGCAAAGTCATCTCCATCAAGCCCATCCATTATCATGCATGTTTGCAGAACTCCATTTTTAGTCCAACAGGTGGATGACTCCTCACTCAGTGTTCTCATGATCTTCAAATAAAGAGCACACATTCCCTGGATTTTGGTGGAAGGTCATGCCTTTTGTAATGTGCTCATTGGTGCCTCTTGGCACTCCAACTGTTGTACTTTCCTCCTCCATATTTGCCCCTCGATCTGGTGCTCATTTGCCTCCCCTCCTCTCCTGCCCAGGGGCCTGTGTTACCTCCTGGGTCCCAGAGAGGCTCTTTTAAGGGCTCTCACCTCCCCTGACTTTACGCTTCCATCTGTTTTACACAAAAGCCATTCTGAATGTCCAGCATCTTTAGCTCAGTCACCGCCCCAGCAGGAAGTGCTGGTAACATCTGGTGCTTGATTTTCCTAAGGGAACATGACAGAAAAAAAGTAGATAAGCAAAGAACCACGGACTCTGTGGGCAGTCACTTACATTGCTGCATTTATCTCATGGAAGGAGGCTCCCTATTTACTTGTCTGCCTGTGCAGTTAGACAGTTAATTTCTAGAGGCCAGGTGACAAGTCATATTGAACTCTACCTTCCACCACAAAGCATGGAGCATGACATATTTTAAGTACACATGTAGGCCTGGGTGGAGGGTGCACAAGTGAGGACCAGGGCTTCCTGTGTCAAACATGCCATCCTGTTCCTGCAAAGATGTGACAGCCGAGACCTGGGCTGGGGTATTTGATGCTGTCACCTGCTCCAGCAACCCACTCATGCTGCTCTTCACAATCTAGGAGCTCCTGTCCTGGGCTCACCAGACCATGGACTTCTGAATCAGCTTTCTCTTGCTATCATGAAGTCAGATGAATGTCTAGCTGGAGACAGGACCTGAGCTAGAAAGACCTGGGAAGACAAGCCCAGGCTTCCATCAAGAGAGAAGGAAGGAGAGGGTGTAGGATGGAGGCAGCAGGAAGAGTGTGGTGTTAATGGGCACCTTCCCAGGATGTTTCAGGTGTCCCGTGACTGTGAAGATCACGGATCTTCAGCACACCCTCATCTTCTTCCTGCCTATGTTCTGAGAGATGCACTGGTCTCACCAGATATCATCAAAGAAGCTTTACCCAAACGGGTTTATTCTCCTCTGTGATTACATGGAGATGGGACACCTTAGGTGCTCACATTCACTTAGAAAAGACTCAGTATCATTTTCTAGAAGGTGAACAAAGAGAAAAGAGCATCTTTCCAGGATAAACTAACTCCAAATTGGTTTTCATTTTCTTTCTATATTTCTTAGTACAGAAGTACACCCATCAAGGAGACATTACAAAGATTCTTTTGCATGATTGCACTCTTTTTAGTGTCACCGATGCTTTCTGAGATCTTGTGTCAGCAAAACCCGCAGCAGGGATGGCCTCCAAAGGCTTCCAGAGTGCCCCGCCCTATCTGAGCCCCATGTCTACCTCCAGTCTTCTTCTGCTGTGGCTCCAGCTCCAGGGCTTGCTTTAGCTCTTAGGGGCCGCCTGCTGTCTGGGCCATCACAGGTGCTGTCTCTTCCACTGGCACAGGCATTAGAGACATGACTCCTGCGAGTTTGCCCGCCGGCCGCTGCAGCTGTTGCCAGGGCTCTGGGTGCTACTGCTGACCTGGGCAGTGCATTGAGATAAGCAGTTTTAGAGGAATCAGAGATCCCAAGTGCCCAGGTTTAGCCTCAGTCTGATGTGACCCCTCCTAACTTCCTGCTCGTGCTCAGCACTCCTGAGTTCATCCTGACGAGGGTTGTCAGTAATCTCCAGCCGTCTTCCTGGGTGTCCCTCATGGCTGTCTGCACACCCATGCTCTGGTCACTGCTTAGCAGCACTTAAGTCTCACTCTGTAAAAAAGTGAGACTTTTCTACCTGCATTTCTTTTTTTTTTTTTTTTTTTTTTTTTTTTTTTGAGACGTAGTTTTGCTCTTGTTACCCAGGCTGGAGTGCAATGGCGCAATCTCGGTTCACCGCAACCTCCGCCTCCTGGGCTCAGGCAATTCTCCTGCCTCAGCCTCCTGAGTAGCTGGGACTACAGGCACGCACCACCATGCCCAGCTAATTTTTTTTGTATTTTTAGTAGAGACGGGGTTTCACCATGTTGACCTGGATGGTCTCGATCTCTTGACCTTGTGATCCACCCGCCTCGGCCTCCCAAAGTGCTGGGGTTACAGGTGTGAGCCACCTCGCCCGGCCCTCTACCTGCATTTCTATTTTGTCCCTCCAAGGCTGCTCCATTGCTCTCCCACTCCTTCTCTCCCAGACTAAATGCTGCACAGGATGAGAAGAATGAGAGACGACACCTCTCTTCACTCACAGGGAGACCATGAGGACTTTATGTACTGATGCCAGAAAGAGGCTACAGGACACATGGCTGCAGGGAGAAATGTTCACCCTATTTCTATAGGGAAGTTATGGGTGTTGGGGAGGTAGGAAAAGATCCTTGAAAGCTGAATAAGTGATGGGTGCAAGGAGAGAAATGGAGACGGTCACAGGGGTTTACACTGAGAGGAACTTCGGGAAGTAAGAAAAATTAAAACGAGATAATGGCAGGAGTTATATACCGGATATATTCACTGGGTCAATGATGCGTACACTACTCACGATGTGCCATACCCAGCCGTATTCTCTGACGTAACAGTAAGCAATATAATTCTCACTGCAGTCTTTCTAGTTACCTGCTACCCTACTCCCATTTTACAAATGGGAATCATCATGGAACGGGCGTCCAGGGTCTCCCAGCAACTGCCATGCAAATTTTGGCAGTTTTGCTGAAAAGCCTACAGGCCTGATGACTGTGGTATTCTGAGTTCCTCCTAAATGTTTTAAGAAATGGGAATGAACAGTGGATTTGTTTTGTAATTGTTTAATCCACAGTATTTGGTGTTTGATTAAACATCACTAAACCACCAAACAATGAGTCACACTTTTAAGGAGTTTCCCTCCCAAAGTTTGGACCCAGAGTGTAGTACTCAGCTGCAACACGGGATTAAGGTCATGATTTTTAATGTGCGCTAAAAGAACAATTCACGTTCACTACAATTTTGAGAATGTTGATGAACTGGAGAAGGACCCAGTAAAAATTCAAGCCTGAGAGCTTATTAGGGAAATACTAGCAATCCAAGAAGGTCTCATAAACTCTGAGCCAAAGTGAAAGAACAGATCTTAAGAGTAGTTTAGGGCTAGATACAGCAGAGAAATTCATGTATCCAGTAATATGTGAATATATTAAATTTTAGAGATCTTTTCCAAGCTCTTGGGTAACAGGGAAATGGAAATTACTTCCCTCTTCTGTGTTCATAGACATTTGTTTTTGTAATGCATTGGGATGAAAAGGTACCCACCAGGGTCCTGATATAATGCACATGATGTCACCACCATCACTAACCTCATCATCAGCAATATATTGAACAAATCATCTTCATGACTCACATTAATTATCTCAAATATTTTATGCTCATGGACCATTTTATTTGCTTATAATCATTTCATACGTCCCATGGGATGCTAAATATGGGCAAATTGACTTTTTTCATATTAAGTATGGGTCTGGTGATCTCAACTGTTGTACGTTTCTTAACGATGTTGTCTGCTTATTCATATAGTCCTACCTTAATTATCTTAGGGGCCCCAACTGCCCCAGACAGGGTCTGAGTCCATCCTCCATTTATTACCTAATACATCTCACTTGCAGGGTCCACTAGTCTCAGATCACCCAACATCCCCAAGGATCAGGAGCCAATTACATCTCAACAAAGCATGCCCCTGGGGAATACGCAGAGGAAAACGGAACTTATGTCCAAAACACAGACATTTGTGTCCCAGACAAATCACAGGATATCAGACACATATGTTTACATCTCTGATGTTAGTCCAGTTAACCCTGAAAGGCTCAAAGACAGGAAACATGTCATATGTGTCTCTACATTCTCGCTGCAAAATGCAAGGGGACGAGCTCAAGTTAAAGCAGCTGAACTGAGTGAGTGAAAGGAGAAGAAATGACAGGTTCCCAACACATGGGGAGAGCTGTCATCAAGACTTCCTGGTTCCCTCTTGCCAGACAGCTTGGCAAGCATCAGGAAGATGCTGGAGGCCTGGGATGGGAATGTTTGGCTCTGCCCCCCCACCCTGTTGTGAAAGCAACATGCCTGGGCTGTGCACCACAAACCCTGCACAGGATAAAAAGGCTCTTACCTTGGACTCCTCATCCACAGCCTCCTAGAGAGCAGCCTTCTCCTCTTTAGCCTCTTCTGGATCTGGCAAGTATCTAGCAGGGGACCCTGAGCTGGGGGTGTTTGGGAAGATAAGCCCAGATTTTACTAGGGAAGGGGGAAGCAGAGGCATCTGATGTACAGACAGCAGGAAGAAGACTTTGGAGGGCAGCTAAGGGTACAGAAAGGGGCAATGAGCAAAGAACCTCTGTGGGACGTGTGAGAGTCTGTGACACACAAGGGCCCTGGCTCTCAGCATCCCCTCCACTCTTTTCCTGAGAGATGCGCCCATACCCAGCCATATTCTCTGAGAACCAGTACTCAATCAGGTGTATCTGCATTAATGTTTCTGCAAAAACAGGAGGACCTGGGGCCCAGTTGGAAGATATCAGCCTTCTTTTCAGGAAGAAGGAAAAGTGGAAAGAAATGTCTTACCAGGCCAGTTTTACTTGAGATCAGTTTCTGTTTTTATTCCTGAAGTTTATGTCTCAGGAAGCAATTGGTCTTAGGAGTAAGGGCTTCATAAAATCATTTGTAGAGGTGCTTTTCATTGGTCTGGTACTTTTCCATTGACCTTTTCCTTTGATCTATCCAGGCTCTCAGGCCTTCTGCCAAGATGTCCTGCCAGCAGGACCAGCAGCAGTGCCAGCCCCCACCCAAGTGCCCCTCACCCAAGTGTCCCCCAAAGAGCCCAACTCAGTGTCTGCCTCCAGCCTCCTCCTGCTGTGCTCCAAGCCCTGGGGGCTGCGATGGCCCCAGCTCTGAGGGCAGCTGCTGCCTGAGCCACCACCGGTGCCGCAGGTCCCACCGATGTCGCAGGTCCCACCGATGTCGGCGCCAGCGCTACAACTCCTGTGATAGGGGCATTGGTCAGCAAGATGGGGCCTCCAGCTGTGGCTATGGCTCTGGAGGCTGCTGCTGACCTAATTCCTGATGCGGAGACAAGCAACTTTAGAGGAAACAAGCATCTGAAGGACCAAGGAAAAGCCGCAACTTGGTGGACCCTTTCTCAGACATCCTAATTAATCATTCATTCACGGGGAAGGATTGTGCTTTTCCCAAAAGGCTACGCCCATGTGTCTTCCAAGATCCTGGAAGCCTCCTTTCCTCCTGACAATGCAATCACTTGTGTCTGCTTATACAGAGAAATAAAGCTTTTCAACAGCACCTGCATCTCACTTGTCTTTCACTCTCCTCCACAGAAGCCTGCTCAGTGGGTCTCCCCCCATCAGCTCCTGAAGGTCTAGCGTGCCCTGAATCCAGAATAATACTGGCTTGTGTTTGGAAAATGAACGGGTCAGATTTTTCTTCATGCAGGGGTCCCTGTGGGAGACTTGAGGATAGAAGTGTGGGAGCAAGGGGAGGTGTTGAGAGAGGTTGGTGAAAATCTCTTAGAAAGACCTGGCTTTTCTTGTGTGGTACTGTGGGAGGAGAGATCTGACACTGGAGCCCACAGTTTCTGCTGAGGGTGGTGCAGAGCATCAGAAAATCGGCAAGAATGGGGCCGAAGAGAAGGGAGGGTGTGGGGGCAGAAAGAACGGTCGGAAGGGTAAAGATCAAGTCAAGCGGCAGGTAATGGACTTCAGGGAGGGAGTTGGGCTGAAGTTAGTAAATTCTGAAGCAGTTGGAATTGAAGTTTTCTCTGATGAGAACGCTAATGAGAGGCTCTGAGCTCTTAGAAAACAGAGAAAAGACGACATGAGGAATGTCTCCAGGGGTACAGATGACATATCTGTACATTTTTCTTTTAAGAAATTTCAGGCCGGGTGTGGTGGCTCAAGCCTGTAATCCCAGCACTTTGGGAGGCCAAGGCAGGTGGATCATGAGGTCAAGAGATCGAGACCATCCTGGTCAACATGGTGAAACCCCGTCTCTACTAAAAATACCAAAAATTAGCTGGGCATGGTGGCGCATGCTCTAATCCCAGCTACTCAGGAGGCTGAGGCAGGAGAATTGCCTGAACCCAGGAGGCAGAGGTTGCGGTGAGCCGAGATCGTGCCATTGCACTCCAGCCTGGGTAACAAGAGCGAAACTCCGTCTCAAAAAAAAAAAAAAAGAAAGAAAAAAAAAGAAATTTCAGATAGAATTGAACTCTTTTTTTTTTTTTTTTTTGCTGTTGAATGTTACTTTCTGAGCTCAACAAAAACAAGACAAAGCCATATTATAGTTACCATTAAACTGTAACTGGGAGCTCCTGCCCCAATGCTGGAATATGGCAGTGTTTTATCTCTACTCCAAACCAAAGTGATTGATGTGAATCATGAGTACTGCTTCATTTTGACAGATGGATTTTGGAAATCATGTTGCACCACTGGGGGCTGTTCAGCCCAAGCCATGATGGTTCTTTAGGTAACTTCGGAAAGGTGAAAATAAGTCATATCGCTGTGGCTACAGTCAAAGAAGAAATTTTTGACGAAAATCAGAGTTTGAGCGCGGACACTTTAGGCAGAGAATAAGACCTATGTGATACTTTGGGAATTCAACTGATTATAGTAAGTTATTTTTAAATTTTCATTTTTAAAAAGTGGCCAACTGGAAATCAGTTTTGCTCCAATATACTTGGACACATTATTTCTTAAGAAACTGGAATGAAAAGTTTCAAAAGGAATCATGATTGGAAGTTGAAGTCAAATGTGCTCTGCTAGTGAAATCATTTAACTGGCTGAGAAGGGTCCTCTGAGAAACCGAACAGAGAAATGAAACTTACAATTGAGTAGACTTGAATCAATGTAATAGGCTTCTTGCTCCGGTACACTTAACACATGCTTGGAAAGTACTCTTTAAAAGTCAGAAGTAAAACACATAATGGAGAAAAAAGAAAAAGAGTGGTCAAGCTCCTTATGGGAACACCTAGGTCCCACATTCAGCTATGTTGTACATGCAAAGCCACAAGCATTGATGAAGCTAGTTGGCTAAAATTCAGAGGAATTGTGTTCATAAAATTCATTTCAGGGTGTATAGAGATTGAGATTGCACAAACATTTGATGAGTGTATCTCCCGTGCCAGGTTACATTCCAGGCACTGTAGATACAATGGGAACAGATGAAGTTTCTATTTACTTGGAGCAGACGTCGTGTGGGCATTTTGCAAACTGACATTTTCCTTACTCCGCATTCAGTTGAATTCTGATTCCCTGTGTGTAACGAGTGTCAGTGTTGGTGAGATAAACCCAGCCTTGGAAAAACTTTAAGGCATGAAAGTGGTGAATTTTGGGAGAACTAAAAAAGCTGTCTACTGGCTATTCACACCTCCGCAGAGCCAACAGCTTTAGAAGGAAGGAAGTAGGTTGCTGATGGCAGAAAATTAGTGGATGTCCTATTGTTACACAAGTCGCCCCACAACGTAGTGACGTGAAATGACACACTAAGTGATGTGGAATGACAGCCATCGTGGTTTTCTCATAATTTTATGTTGGCGGAAGCAGCAAGGGAGAAAGGACTTACAGAGTGCCTATATAAATTGGTTATGAGTAACGTATAAACCGAGAACAGCAAACTACGGCAAACTGCGGGAGACCTCTGGGGAGGCAAATGTCTCCAGGCCTCGTGTTTCAGCGGCAGCGTGACCTAGACTCTGCTACCATAAGCATTGCTCAAGGATGTAAAACCCCTTCATTGCACTAAGACATAGCTAGACTTGTGGGCGCCTTGTGAGGCCTGCTTCCACCAGCTGAGCATAGATAACAGGCTAAAGATAACCACGAGTTTTTGTTTTGTCAAACTCCCAAACTGTCACTGTTATCAATCTTTAGAATGATGCACCAGTTCCCGGTCACTGAGTCACCCCAGTATCACATCACCCTCTCCCCACCATCACTCCACCACCTACCCTATAGATCAAAGTGATTGTATCCAATAAATACTGTGAAAGATCAGAGGTGGGGGCCTTTGCGCCCTCCAGTTTCTGCATTGGCCCCTGGTCCCACTTTATGCATTCTTAACCTGTCTTTTTTTCATTCCTTTGTTGCCACCAAACTCGGGTGGGGTGTGGGGGCTGGTTCCCTACGTTCTATGGGTTAGAAATTCAGGAAGGGCCATTATATCAGCTGGGCCACTCTCAATTCATGCATTTGCCATCAGATGTTCACTGGAGCTATGGTCACCTGAAGGCTGGCTGGACTGGACATCTGAGAAGGCACACTCAGATTGTTGACCGTTGATGCTGGATGCCAGCTGGGACCTCTTCCGGGGTTGTCAGCTGGAGGACCTACACCTGGCCTCTCTTGCATGATGGTTTCAGAATAGCCAGACTTTTTACATGGTAACTGGCTTCCCCAGAGACCGCCTTCTAAGAGGACCAGGTGGAATCTGCATGACCTTTTGTGACCCAGCTTTTGAAGTCACTTAGCATATTTCAACCATATTCATTTGGTCAAAGGAGTCATAAGCCTGCCTAGATTCAAGGTAAGTGGACATAGGCCAAAATTCTCAATAAAAGAAATGTCAAAAAACTTTGAATCATGCTTTAGAACCATCACAAAAAGGTATTAGCCAAATCCTCACCGTCTTTTCAGTTCACTCTACGTATTGCTGAAGGCCTAGTATGAATTAATGTCCCCACAGTGTTTTAAAAAGACTCAGATTTCGGCCAAGGTTGTAACATATTCAAGTTTTGAAGAGGGTGGTCGCTTCTATAATCTTTATGGAACTGGAGTATTTAGACCTATCACTGCAATAATGATGTCTTATCAAAAGGTAACAAGGTTATTTACATATGCTAAATAATTATCTAATTCCGGGCCAACACAGTGAAACCCCATCTCCACTAAAAATACAAAACTTAGCCAGGCATGGTGGTTCATGCCTATAGTCCCAGCTACTCAGGAGGCCGAGGTAGGAGAATTGCTTGAACCTGGGAGGTTGCAGTGAGTGGAGATCATGCCACTGCACGGCAGCCTGGGAGGCAGAATGAGACTCCATCTAAAAAAAAAAAAAACAATTCAATGCAATGGAAAACTATACAGCTGGTATTTACATTTAGCAGAAACACTGGTGAAATAAACTTAGTCACCACTATTCTCCATCACTCTATTGTTCTTTCCATCAATTATCATTCAATCCCTCACTTTTCCTAAAGTGTTCTGGCCAGTGTGATATGAGCATCCCTGGGTATATGAACCATTCCTATCTCTTTGATCAATAGAGCAGTCAAGTTAAATGCTGAAGCAATGTCCTTAGATTTGCAAGTCTGTCATGTCACAGATCTACTGCTAATTGGTGGCTATGCTTTTAATTTCAGCATCTCTGGTTCATTTCGCCTTTATCTTTTAGCTTTGTTTTTCTCGAGACACCTCTAGGTTTCTCCTGGTATTTAAAAGAGGGGGCAGTGGGAAAGTCCATATCCAGTGCCCATGTTCTTGGCCTGCACACTCTCTGTCCCCATTATCTTAGCTTGCTTCCCTTTCAGATCCCACTTCTCTCAAAAGGCAGCTTTATTTCCTCCCTCTGGCAAGAAGCCTTCTACCCAGGGACTCCTGGTTCTCCATTCCCATGAGCATTCCTCAGTCACTTTATCTAGGCCACCACAGGACCATCAAAGGTTATTTTGCAGTCCAGAAACCTCACCCAACACCCACAAGGGATACTAGTGCCAATGTCCAGACACTTCACTCCTGTCATGAAAACAGGGAGTTACCATCCAAGGGAAAGTCCCATGGACTTTCCACACACTTACGTAATAGTCCATATTATTCAGGCTTGTAAGGGGATTGCTGATTTGTCAGTCGGCATCTCAAGGATGGGAACCATAGTTTATACATTTCTGAATCCTTTGTGTCAAGATATTCCTAAACTGTGTCCTCAACTGTTGCTCTTTGAATGAATGAATTAATGAATAAAAGATGACCGACAATTAGTTTCCAACAGTCCTGATGATCAAGGCCAGATATTTGGGTGTTACGGGGACTTCCTGGCTCCCTTTTATCAGAAAAAAACTTCTGGGCATCTACTGAAGAGTTGTCGAATTCCCTACCGAGGGGCTAGAGTTTGAAGAGCTGAAGAGCTGTCCTTTGGAGTAGAACCCATCACCATCATCACTCTCCATGTCCCAGCTCCTTTTTTCTAACTCTGAATCCA